CATGCACATAAGCTAACTCCAAATGGGTCAAACACCTTAATTGAAACTCTGAAATGGCTACAAGGAAAAGTGGTGAAAATACTTCAAGATATAGGCATAGGTAAGTACATTATGAATATTAGGACTCCGATCACTGAAGAAATCAACAAATGGGACTTTATTATTTAGCTTCTGTACAGCAAAGAAAACAGTTAATTGAGTGTAAAGGCAGCCTACAGAATGGGAGAAAAATTTTGCCTGCTCTGTATCTGTCAGAAGATTAATATCCAGAATATACAAAGAACTCATAAAACTAAAGGAAATAATCAAAAAAATGTCCTAGGGAACTGAGCCGAATTCTCAGAAGCACAAGTGTCCAATATTTTTAAAAATATTTAATTTATTATTTTTATTTTATGTGTATGAGTGTATTGCCTGCATATATGTGAGTGGACCCATGTCGTGCAGTGCCATGGAGGTCAGACGAGGGCTTCGGATTCCCCTGGAACTGGAGTTAAGGATGGTTCGTAGCCGCCATGTGCCTGCTGGGAATCGGACCTGGGTCCTCTGCAAGAGCAGTCAGTGTTCTTAATCACTGAGCGATCTCTCCAGCCCCAATAAATATTTTTTTAAGTGTACAATATCCTTAACCATTAATGAAATGCAAATTAAAACTGCCTTTAGATTTCATCTTACCCAGTCAGAATGGATAGCATCAAGAAAACAAATGTTGGGGAGGATGTGAAGAAAATGAATATAGGAATCCTTATTCACTGTTGATGGGAGTGAAAACTGTCATAACCTTATGGAAATCAGTGTGGAGGTTTCACAACAAACTCACCTAAGGAAATTGTTCAACAGGTGGCTGCTAGGAGAGGCAGAGACAGTCTCTTTCAAGTATGGGACTCTTGGTAGGTTAACCAGGCTCCAGTGTGATCCCACGCTGAAGAGCAGTTGGGTACACAAATTAGACTGCATAGACTCTCTCTACATAAATACATATACTCTATATATAGTATATATGTGTAACCTACATATACTATATATATTAAAGTATATTAAACAAGACGAGATGCAGATAGGACAGAGGATCCAAATACCATTCTATTGTATGAAAATTGCAAAAATTCAATTTAAAATTATGAAAAACACTGGATGTGGTGTTGCATGCCTTTAATCCCAGCCCTTGGGGGCAGAGGCAAATAGAGCTCTGTGAGATCAAGACCAGTCTGGTCTACATAGTGAGTTCCAGGTGGACTGGATCTAGGGAGACCCTGTCCAAAAAGAAAAAAAGTATAAAAACAACTAAAAATAGAATTTCCGTATGACCCTGTTACTCCATCACTGGGCATATAACCAAAGGACTCCACATCCTACACAGAAATATTATGTATCCATGTTTATTGCCCTTTTTACAATAGCAAGGAAATTGAAATCAGCCTACATGTCCATCAACAGATCAGTGGGTAATGGAATTTTATTTAGCCACAATGAAAAATGAAACTGTGACATGTGCAGAAAAATGAATGCAACTGGAAAATATTAAGTGAGGTAATTCAGGTTCAGAAAGACTAACACCACATGTTCTCTCTCAGGTGACTCCTAGCTTCAAACTTTATCTATGTGCATCTCTGTGGGAGTGGGTGTGTGTGGATCCCAGGAACCTCGAAAGGAACCCATGGGGGCTGTCTTTAAGTGGAATGGGTAGTGCAGAACATAGGTAATACAAAGTGGAAGGGGGAATACTTGGAGTGGGAGGATGGAGGAGAGGAAGGAGTAATGGTAAAGTCTCCGGCAAAACTCAAAATATATTAAAGGGGGCTAGAGAGATGGCTCTAGCAATTTAGAGCACTTACTGCTCTCCCAGAGGACCTGAGTTTGGTTCCCAGGAGCCACATACCTGCTAACAACTGACAATAACTCCAGTTCCAGAGGATCCAGCACCCTCTTCTGGCTTCCATGGGCACTGCACACACAAGTATTCTTATATGCAGGCAAAACACTCATATGTACATAAAATTTTTAAAAAATTTAAAGAGCAAGCCTCCATTGGCCTGGAAGCCTCCACCTTATACATTCATGAACCAGCCCTGGCTCTTACAATCTTTCTGCCTCCTCCTCCAATGGTCCCTGAGCCATGGGTGGGTGAAGTTCCCTATAGCAGTTCCATCCTACACTCTACAGTCTCTTATTCTCAAAAACTTGGCCAGTTGAGGCCTTCTGTGTGTAACGCACTCTGATGGCTTCCAGGCCAATGGAGGCTTGCTCATGTGTACCTGCAGTAGCAGTGACATCCAACACGGGACCCATGTCAGCTCAACTAAACAGGGGCCCAAAGGGGAGGGAAGCAATAGGAGGCAGGTCAGCACTACGTCAAAAACTATTTGAGACTGGTTGCTGCTGGATGAGGGAGAGTATAACTTACATACAACCACTGAATGGGGCTGACTAGATGCCAGTGGATTTATTTACACTGAAGGACATTTGGATACAAACACCTGAATGAATAGGACTCAGCATGTATGGCAGAGTACATAGGGTTTGGTGGTGGGGAGGGGGCTGGATGTGAGTGGGAAATACTGTATGAAATTTTAAAAGCTCAATGAAAAAAGTTTTTAAAAAATTGAGCTGGGCGTGGTGGCACACACCTTTAGTCCCAGCACTCGGGAGGCAGAGGCAGGCAGATCTCTAAGTTCAAGGCCAGCCTGGTCTACATAGTGAGTTCTAGGACAGCTGGGGCTACAGGGAGACCCTGTCTGAAAAAAACCAAAAAAAAATTTAAAGAGAAAAATTATATTAAAATGCCATACTAAAAGTCTGATACTTGATAAACTAATCAAAAATAAGGGTTTGAACAGAGGTACCCTTTTTTTGGGTGGATAAAGCTGTCCTCTAATGCCATAGGTTATTAAACAAAAATTCCAGTGCCAGAAGTGAGCTATTTCCTTTGTGTTGTTGGTCAGAGAAGTCCCTGAGGATCCCCAAACAGTATAGGCAATTGCCACTGCCAGTGCTTGCCCACCAGATAAAACACTGTTCCTGATAACATCACATGCCTTGGTCACAGAACACAGAGAAATCAAGCTGTGTCACTCCCTGCAAAGCACAGGGAACATGACAGAAGAAGGGGTGAAAGAAATGTAAGAACTAGAGGAAGTGGTGAGGAGAAATGTAGGTCTTATGGGCATGACATGGCTGTTGCCCTCTTAAACTCACAGAAACTGTGATAACTTGCACCGCCCATCAACACTCTGGCATCAAAGGGAAGGGTTCATGGGGCCCCACCCCTCTGAGAGGATTTATATACAACTAATGGGAAGGAAAAGACATTTTCTTCAGTGGTGTAAGGTACCCAGGCTCCTATAAACAAATAATCAACCCATGTTCTTGTAAACAACCCTGGAACACATCCATACAGAGACACACAGAAAATAAAAATGTCAGGGAATAGTTTGGAAGAGGACAGAGCTTAGCAAGAGGAGTAGGAAGACACAGAGGGTAATGAGGGGTGAATATGATCAAAAGACATTGTGTACATGTGTGAAAATGGTATAATACAACCTCTAGTTATATATAATTATATGCTAATAAAAGCATTTAAAATTTTTATGTATATGAGTGTTTTGTCTACATACATGTAAGTGCACCACATACATCCAATGCCAGTGGAGGCCAGAAGGAGACATTGAATCCCCTGGAACTAGAGTTACAGTTGTCAGCCACCATGTGGGTGGTGGAAATCAAGCCTGGGTTCTATGCAAAAACAGCCAGTTCTCTTAATTGTGAGCCATCTCTCCAGCCTCTAAAAACATTTTTTAATTTTATTTATTTATTTTTAATGTGTATGCATGTATTGCCTGAATGTACGTAAGTGCACCCATGTGGTGCAATGCCCGCGGAGGTCAGGAGAGGCTATCGGATCCCCTGGGACTGGAGTTATGGACAGTTGTTAGCTGTCATGTGGGTGCTGGGATCCGAACCTAGGTCTTCTGCAAGAATAACCAGTGTTCTTAACTGCTGAGCCAACTCTCCAGCCCCTAAAAACATTTATAAAACATAGCTTTAATCATTTTACATTTTATATGATAGGAGGTGAGTATATAGCTTTAATCTTCAAAATAGTTATCTGACTTTACTAGTTGTTGAATAATCCTTCCATTTAATTGAAATGCCACTTGTATTTTATATTTTAACATTCCCACAAATGTGTATTTTTAAAAGTTCTGGTTTTTTAACTATGTATTTTGATAGTAGCTTTGTTAGTCTAATCTGATAAATCTGCATTGAAACATACATTCATTTTTTGTAATAGGACAATATAGTTTTCAGTTTGAACTTTTAGAATTATCATAAATTTTTTCTTGCAGTACTGGGAATTGAACCTAGGATCCCACATGTGCTAGACATGTATTATGCCACTGAGCTATATCCCTGCCCCTTTTTTAGTTTGTATTTTGAGGCAGAGGCAGGCTAAGTTGCCCGCACTGGTCTTGAACTTAACTTACTATCCACCTACCTTTGTCTCCCAAGTAGCTGGGGTTACAGGCCTGCATTACTTGGCCTGGCTATTAATTTTATACTAGGTGAATTTTAGGATATTAAGTCTGTCTCAAAAAAAACTGGCATTATTCTCCACATTCAAGTTTTGTGTATAGCTAGTAATTTTTTAGAATTTATACTATATAGTATTCTATAGTTTTGAACATATCAAGATGTCACTTGGTGTACACTTTCATAGTAAATTTCAAAGTATTGTTACAAGTATTTCCTTTAGAATTGTAGCAGAAAAAATTTTTAGTTAATTTAATATTCCATTAAATTAGTCATTGTTAGGGTACTAATTTTTCCCCAAATAAAAATAGGTAAAACCACAACAGTTTCCCCTTGACTTAAAGGGGATTTCAGGCTTTTTAGTACTATCAGTTTTATCTATGAATGGCATATTTGCATAGTTGTTTGGATTCTGGACAAATGGAATTTATTGAATGACTGTGAGTTTGTTAATCTTATTTTGTCTTAAGGTTGCTACAACTGTAAATATGAATCAAGGACACTACCCAATAGAAGAGTTTATTAAAGAAGATTCTTCACTGGAAGCATTGCAACCAAAAATGTATGTTCTTGTGTGCATTTTTTTTTTCTTTTTGAGACAGGGTCTCCCTGTAGCTCCAGCTGCCTAGAACTCACTCTGTAGACCAGGCTGGCCTCGAACTCACAGAGGATCCGCCTGCCTCTGCCTCTGGAGTGCTGGGATTAAAGGCATGTGCCACCACGCCTGGCATGTGCATTTATTTTAACACTTAAAGTTCAGTATATTTCTAAAACAATTTTAGAATTATTAGTAAATGCCATTTTAAAGTATGTTTCTAGGCTATTGTTTACAGAATGCTGTTTAAATTCATTAATGTGTCTTAACTGTTAGTGGAATGGAGGATCCAACTCCAAAAGAAGTAGCATTAGTTTGATCTTATTTAAAATGAAGTAAAGAACACATCCACACAAGAGGCTGAGACCATAATATGAGCTAAAGTTATTGCAGCTGGATGAAAGTAAGTTATAAAGGGGAAAAATATGTTGATCTTAAGAGAGATACTAATACAATATGATGGAAGACACTGGTAAGAAGTGGTTTAAGAGGTGGCTTATAAAAAGAAAAATAACTTTGCAATTCTCTTATTTTTCCATTCTTCCATGAGACTTGGCATATTAATCAATACTATCTTTGAATTAGAGATTTTTTAAGTTTTTTATTACCATATATTAATCATATGTAATAATGGGTCTTCTCATGACACTTTTATACTATATATAATGTATTTTTATCATAATCACCCCACTTCCCTCTACAGAGTTTTTTTAAACATAACTGGAGACCATCATTGTTGTTGTTATGTATATTTATATTCGATTTTTGTGGATTTCACACAATACATTTCAATCATATTTAGGTCTCCTTTATCTGCACCCCTCCATAGCCTGCCCACAGCATTTCACACATTCTGTCTTATATGTTAAAGCCTATCAAGTCAAGTTTGTGTCCCCAGATGTCCCTTGATGTAAGTTCATCCACTGGAGTCTGGTTGGCCTACCTAGCATCACTCTCTTAAAAAAGATGAGCTTTCCCTCACCCAACAGTGATCAGTTGCCAACAGTTCCTCAGCTAAAATGGGGGCCTCCTGCCCACTTCCCCAGTTCTATGTTGGTTTTTATCTGCTTGAGTTTGTGTGGGTCTTGTACACACTGTCACCATTGCTGTAACTTCATATGAGCAAGTTCCCAGGAGTCTGTAAGACTCTGTTTCCTTATGGTCGCATACCACCCATGGATTTTGCTATCTTTTTGCCCCCTCTTCCACAATAGTCACAGAGCCCTATGTGGGTAAGGTTTAATATAGGTGTTCTATTCAGGAACACACTCTCTGCAGTCTCTTATTCCCTACACTTTGACCAGTTGTGACCTTCTATGTTCAATTACCCTCTGTTGCATTAGGAAGCTTTGCTATGAGAGTTGAGAGATGTACTAGTATATTCCCTACCCCTCGTTCTACTATGGTTCATGAGCCTTAGGTATAGAGGTTCCATTGTTGATGCGTCCCTTAGGGCTGGGCATCTCACAGACATGTATTCTGTGTGTGGCCAGTAGAACTCTGTACTGGACTCTATCTGTTGCAAAAAGAAGCTTCTTTGATGAGTGGTGACTGCTATATTTGTAAATATAAGAATTCATACTTAGCACATAGTTAAAAATTATGTTTGTCTAGGGATGTGACAGATGGATAGTTTTGTCTAGGACCTATGACCTCTCCAGCCATGTGTATTTCACTATGTTTACAGTACCACAGATGAGATCCCTCCCATTGCATGGGCTTTAAATCTAATTATATAGCTGTTGATTACCCCCAAGATAAAACTGCCACTCCTGCGCCAGTATAGTTTGCTGTGCTGGTCATTGTTGTGGATGTTAGGCTTTAAAGCTGGGGTTGGACCACTGATTGATTTTTCTCCCTTAGCAACTTTCATAGAGCCCTCCACAACTATGAGAGCTTGTCTTCAGGAAGGATACCTTCAAATCAGTTCCAGTTCCATTGCTCCAAGTCCTGTGTCTGAAGAATGTCTTATCTTTAGCAATAGGGTCTTACTTTCAAGTTCTGGGAGGTAATCAAAGGTTGTGGCAATAGCCTGTGTCATCTTTGGAGTCTCTTGGACTACCCTAACCAAAAACTCAAAGGGAAGTTTCTCCTGTCTGGCACTGTGTTTCTTGTTATATAGCCTTCAGCTAATCACATACACTCATGTACAGATACTGTATGTATTTTTCAGTGGGCTTTTAAACTGTGTCATTTCCCTCTGTTTTTTCATACTTCTTCTCTCTCTCTGTCTAGCCCCCCCCCATTAAAGTACCCCCCTCTTTTCCTATTTCCCCTTTGAAATACCTGTCTTCTATTATCCCTCACAAGTTCCTTCTTACCTTTACCCCCCTGGTTTTTCATATATCCTTCCCTTCTCTCTTCCCCATTAAATACTCCCGTTTTCCCCATTTCTCCCTTGGTAACATCTGTTTCCTCCTGTCTCCCTCTCTTGGGCTCTTTCTTTCTGTACCTCCATGGCTCCTTTCCATTTTTCTGACTCCTGTGGTTATATCAAGTTGTATACTCACATATAGAGATTTAATGCTAAGATCCACAAATGAAAAAGAACGTCACTTGTTCTTCTAAGTCTGTGTTACTTCGCTAGTATAGTATATTCTAATTATAACTTCATTTATTTTCTTTCTGTTGCCTCTTGGGTATAGTCATTCCTTTCTTCAGTTCTTTGCATTTCTTTGAGTATTCCCTGTAGGCCTCGTTGGGTGGGCACAAATTCTTTCAGCCTATTCATATCATGGAAGATTTTTCTTTCCCCTTCAGCTATGATAGACAGCTGTGCTGGATAAAATATTCTGGATTGGCATATATGATCATTTAGAACTTGGAATACTTTGGTCTGTGCTCTTCTGGCTTTCATTGTTTTCATTGAAAAGTCAGCTGAAATTCTGATGGGTTTTCCTTTATATGTGACTTGTTTTTCTCTTGCAGCTTTCAGTGTTCTATACACTTAATGTTTTTGCTCTAATATGCCATGGGGAGTTTCTGTTCCAGTCCTGTCTAATTGATGTTCTGTGTGCTTTTTGTATATGTATGGCTATATCTTTCCTTAATTTAGGGAACTTCTCCTCTATAATCCTGTTGAAGAGCTGGTCAGTGCCATTAACCTGGGATTCTTCTTCCTTTATGCCTGTGATGTGTAGATTTGGTCTTTTCATGGGGTCCCACATTTCCTGCATGGTCCATTCCTGTAGTCTTTTTATTTTTCATATTCTTTGCTTGAGCAGTCCTATTCTTCACCTTTATCATCCAGCCTTGATATTCTGTTTTCCATTTTATTCATTCTGTCGGTGAGACTTTCTCATGTTTCAGATTGGCTTTTTGCGTTTTTCAGTTCCTTCATTTCTTCCTGAATTTTCTTCAGTATTTCTTTAGTGAATTCATGTTTCAAATCCTGAATTGTCTTTGTCGTTTCATTCATCCATGTATCTGTATTTTCTTGTGCTTCAGTGAGAAGTTTGTTGCTGTACTCTTTGAGTTCTTTGAGTTGTTTATGTGTTCTTTAAATTTGTTGAATTCTTTGATCATGTTTTTGCTTGTTCTTTAAATTATGTGTCCTGGATTTCCTGTAGGAAGTTCTCATTGTCCAAATCTTCTGTAGGACTGGCGGTATTTGGTGGGGACATACTTTTGGTTTTCGTATTATTTTTTTTTCATTGTGGTTTGGGCGTATAAATTTTCTTTTGTTGATTATGATTCTGGTATGAAACTCAAGCCTGCCTTTGTTGAGTTGAAGTTTGATTCTGTTTGTATTATTGATGCTGTTTGGTTGCTTTCTGATGGGGTATGAAAATTAGTTGGTCTGGGCTTCAAGTTCTCTCCTTTGATTTTTATATTGGAGGGGCCAGATGGATCCAGGCCAGCTGCTTAGGAGCTCTCCAGGAGGAATAAGGAACCCTAGGTAGTCAGGTGCACTCTGCAGCCTCAGCAGAATGGGGCCAAGGCAGGGAGAGGGGATGAGAATAAATGGGCTGGCTCCTGCTAGCCAGCAGGGAAAAGTGAGCCCTGGAACAGTGGGAGGAACTAGAGATGGTCCCAAAGGAGGGGGATGGGTGCAGTGGGATTTGGGCAACTTAAGCTCAGAGGTCAAGTCAGGCACCCTTAAGCAATCTCAGAGGGAAGGGTACAAGGCCCAAGGAGAGGGATGGGAACTGAATGTGCTGGCTCTTAGTAGCCAGCAGAGAACTTATTTTTTATTGCCCTAATCGTCTGTTTGCTTTCCCTGCTAGTCTGTATGCCCATTTAAGAGCACAGACCCATTTTACTCCTTTCTATATTTCTAGTGCAATATACAGAGAGTAATCTTTTGTTAGAGGAAAAGCCATAATATTTTGATATTTTCTGTAGTTTTTCTGAGCTTATATCTTAGTGCTAGCTAAGTTTACCTTTAAAGTTACAGGCTGGGTTTTGATGGGGAAAAAAGGTAAACTTTGATTTTGAAACTTTTCTTTTAACCTATTTAATAACATTTTTCTGAGCTAGGGTACATCTCTTTCAAAATTGGCTGTACATTTCTAGGTTTACAGATGAATTATTACACTTGTACAATCTTTTACTTATTATAAACTCTATAAGACAAAATTAAATGAGTTCCAATGTTTAAAAAAGATCTCCACTTCGTTGTCAAAACACACAATTTCATACAGAAAAATTCATTCCAAGGCTATTGACATTGAGACGTTTTCACATGCATTTCTAATCTCTATATACAAGACTATCACACGGTCACTGTCACCCAGCTTCTGAGCTCCTTGGCATCTGAGCATTAATACAAACTCGTCAGGTAGACCGCCTTCCTCTCCAACTAGAGCCTCCACACTCTGCTATCCCTGCCACTGTCCACTGTGCTGTCAGCACCCCATCCATTCCCCCCTATCTGCCCTTCTGGTAAATCTAGTCAGCCAGAGGTCC